TTCTCACATTTCCTGGCCTTTGATTCATGCCCTGCAATGTCCGGCTGAGGCCCTACACTACCTCCCCCACTGCCACTTCCGTGGCTACCTGAAGAAGGCGGCACAGGAACTCCAGCTCCTGGAGCAAAGACCATTCCTTGGTTCTGAAAACTCTGAGCTCCTTGGTTCACAAGATCAGGTTGCACAGTGTTCCTGTTACCTGTCCAGTTAGTCCACGGGTCCTCTACTTGCAACGGATCACAACCTTGACACGCACCACCTGCACAAGATCCACGACCTGCCTCACCCTGGCTACCAGCACCTCCGGCACACCCTGGGCAAGCACCCGCAGTCACCCCTGCCGCAGCAGCACGACCTGCACCAGCTTGACCTCGTTCAGCTTGACCTGGACTAAAGAACGACTCAGGACCAACACCTCCTGCACCTGGACTGTTCATTGAAGACCTGGATCTCTAGTAGAGATACCCGAAGGCTCCCGCTACCATGTAAAAATCTTAATGAACCCTCAGCTCAGCTCAGCGAGTTCCAAATCCTTTTCGCGCCGTCAACAGACAGGTCACACAAGGCACAAAACCAAGTGTCTTAAATTCTCTTGTTACTCGAGCCACTCTCTGCTTGAGCAACACAAAGTCACACGGACTTCTCAAAACAAAAGACTGCTGTACCAACTGCGGATTCCAGATCAAAAGTTGTTTCAGATAACATCCTACGCAACAATCAACGATTCCGACCTAACGTGTAGCTAGTTAGGTACCATAAGTGGTTGATTTAACCAATCCAAACAAAGAATCAACCACTCATAGTACTTTAGCGTCACAGGCGATGTTGTTAGCTAACAACATCGACAAAATTGGTTGCACCAAAACTTGCCGTTTCCATATCATCCAATGATGATATTCACAGAAATCTTTACAGCATGATTTGACGAACAACTTCGTGATGTCAAATCATTTCCAAACGGTCCAAAAATGTTTGAAATACTTCTCAACTGTTCCGAACGTTTCCGAAAATGTTCAAATGTTTCCAAAACCGTTCCAAACAAACTGTGATCAAATCGGCTAAATCCCTAAAGCTCGAAAACACTCTCGTCTCATTGAAAACGCAAATTCCAGCAAATACAGAGGTCAAAACGCAATGTCACCGAAATCGCATCCAATGAAATACCGTCCATTCTAGAACATTCTCAGCTCATCAAAAGTGCAGAGTCTCAATGAATACCGAAGTCAAATGCAGTATCATAGAAGCATCATCCAATGAACTATTGTACCAAATAGAGGTGCACAACGGTCTAATCCCAGCGTACATCGTGAAGAAGCACGACGGTCCAATACCATATATTCACAGCAGCGGCCAAACAACGGGAACCCCGTGTCAGCTTTGAGATATGAACGGTCGGACAAATTGAAAAATGGGGACGAGGAAGACCAAGGCAACTCTGACTTTTGCAGGTGCGGTGTCCTCACAGTTTGAGCCAACGGCTGCTGACGGAGACAGTGAGTCATGTTCGGATCAAGCGCAAAATCAGAAAAACAACCACAGCCGTAGTGGGAAGTGTATGCAACATGTTGCCGGTGAAGGGGTTGTAATGAAAGTGCATTGTTGTTCAATTGCGGAGGCATGAGACACAGAGGGGAGTGGCAAAGAGCAGAGCAGAAGGGTATGGGGTGGCGAGGGCGGCAAGTGGCAGGGGCAGCAATGCATGACATAAGAAGTTGACGGGGCTCAGTGAGAGGTGTGTCTTCTATGCACGGAGCGGGGACGGGTGGGCAGTACGCTAAGTGGAGCAAGATGTGCTACAAACCAGGGCTCCAGAGGAGCGTTGTCAACACGGATGAAGTATCATCAAGGGGATATACCCGTCAGGAGGCTCGAACCAGGATGATGGTCTTTGGTGTTTGAACCAGGTGAGTTGAGTCACATGTAGATAGTGAAAGCAGCGCTGAACCCTCACCATTACCCAAGGTACCCTTGGGAACAGTAGGGAGATGTTAGACATATATGCCTAGTTCCTACTAAACATGATGTATGGGGCTCAGTGGGGGGTGAGGGCATGAGGGACTACTTGCGTAGATGATGTTAAGTACGTTAAGCGGTATCAGCCGGCTATATCCTTTAAAGGGCGGATATATCTACCTTGTGACAGGTCACCTGCTAGAGGGGTGCGATGACGGGTTCGATTGAATAGCGGGTTCGATTAGATGACGGGTTCGATTAGACAATGCAGTCCATGCCATACTGATTATTGGGGATTGGCTCCTGTTACATATTGACGAGGTAGTGAGCCGACGGGTGGTGAAAGCCTACAGTGGAATGAGTACACAATTTCTGTCAGGATTCCCATTAGCGATACCTACAGGCTGTTGTTATTTTTAACATATAGTTGACAATACGGGTCCGTCAGTCTTTGTGGATGAGGAATGCCCATCATACTATAACAACAAGCGGCAGGAGAAATGATTGACAAGGGGAGATACAAATGAGGTAGTGAGCTGATGCCAGTGTGTTTATAACGGAAGGAACCCGCATGACGTGAAGGCCTCAATCAGCAATAACTACCCGGCATTGAACTGAGTTACAGCATTCGATCCCTAATGGTCAGATAGCCAGTAATGGCTGTACTGGACATCCTTTTTCTTCCAAGACGTTCAGACTGCATTGACTGTTCCTTGGCGGCAGGTTGGCACACACAGGTCAAAAACTTCTATCTGTTCAGTGCTGCTGGGCACTTCATCGTACTAGAATACGCAGTATGCGTTGTTCCGTCGTGAGCATCGCTTGGTCACAACGGGCTATAAATCTACTTATTTCCAGGTGTGCGGTTCGTAATACTCCGCTTTGCTCATCAAACCCTATGTCGTCCAGGTCATCAATTGTTTCCTCCAACTGGTACTGCAATCTCGTGGCCAACAGTTTAGCACGATGGACGAAAAGGAGCTGCTGGAGTAAGGCACGAACATGGTCAGCAGTTGCGCTGCGTGCTGCCCTGTGCATGGGAAGATCCGAAATGTCGCAGCGCTGAACGACGTCCTATTAGGGCAGGGCAGTAGACAGGAAGCACGGAGGCGGGCGCCATGACGAAAACACACAAACAAACAAATGCACTTGGAGCACCTCTTATGGCAACAGACTAATAGTTTGCTTTGGTATCCTAGTGACTAATTGGGCATGATTACCTTATAATGGCGGACGGTTGATAAGTACAGTGGGCGTCCCTAATCAGCTACCTCCACTGGTCAAGCTGGATATGTTTAGGCAGGAGGGGATACAGAGGAGGCCCGCACATGCGAAGCCTGATTTCAATTGACTTTCCGGCCCCAGAAATGGAACCTGGAAGCGCACATGTGGTATCAGCTGTCTCCGTTCCCTAGCTCCAATGCGGCGATTGCAATGCAGCACCACCAACATTCACCAATCCGTCGCTACTCCGCGCTACTCCGCTACTCCGTGGTATGTTTGAATTCAATTACCCAATGTAATTGACACGATATCGAAACGATGGCGGAGTAAGAAAGCCTTCAATACTTCACCTTTCCACATCTTTCCCTAAGCAGATTCTTACTCCATCCCGTTTTAAATTAATACTATTAATTAATAACGGGATTGACTGAAAAAATCATAATTCATGTTCTTTCTGGGCTGAAAACTTCGGTAGGAGTCTAGAGGGGCAAGGGGGGCCAACAAGGGGCAGTAAAAGTACTCAATGCAGTCATTCAAATGGAAGCCGACCGCCTGCGCGAAAATCCACAAACTCCGCAACAGCAAGAAACACTTCAAGCAATCACCTAAGGCTGCAAAAGGCTGATGCGCCTTCTTTTAGAAGCAAACAATCAAGCCACCAGACAAAACGAAATCATAAAAAGCTACCTTATTTCTAGTGAAGGTGGTTGCTGGTTGAGCCTAGTTACAAACACCAAATGCAACACATGCCGCCAACCGAAAAACATCCGAAACCAAAACGCCAAGGTCCTGCAAAAAACGTCTTGCGAGAAAATGAACATCACTGTGAAAACGCAAAACCCTGACATGCCAAACTGAGAAGTTCAAACGCTCGGTCTTTTTAAACACCAGTGACGACGGGCTGTGCAAGTTCAGATCGTCAATCTGTCGACCCAAGGTTGTCATCGCCAGTTCAAGCAATTGATAAATCGCCAGAAAATAGGTATAGGCATCAAGCTGAAATATATCCAACTGTTGCATTGTGTCATCCAGTCGATCCCCGCGTCAGCAAGTCGATTTCCAACGGAAGTCTTGGGAAAAGAGACAAATAAGGGAGGGCTGGGTGGGGCAACCTCAACCAAAAAAGTATGAGGCTACCCGCCACCCTACCCTGCTAAGCCAGAAATGTCGCACATTGTATTTTTCAAACGACATCCTATATCTCCCATTGATCAAGTACCTAACACTGCAATCATGTCTGGATATCCACAGACCAAAACACCACCATTGAAGATCCTGTACCAAGTTGACTGCAAGGACACCACTGAAACTGCAAGAAGTCGAATTCCCTCGAACCATGTTGTTGAATTGCAAGAGAGTCATTCTTCGAGTGATCCCACTGCAGCGAAGGAAGAGGCAGCACAACCAAGAGGAACAACCAGCAACACGAAAACAAGTTTTCTCACCAACACTAGAAATAAGGAGCTATCAACAAGTTGACCGCATACTTATTTCTAGTGAAGGTGGTTGCTGGTTGAGCCTAGTTACAAACACCAAATGCAACACATGCCGCCAACCGAAAAACATCCGAAACCAAAACGCCAAGGTCCTGCAAAAAACGTCTTGCGAGAAAATGAACATCACTGTGAAAACGCAAAACCCTGACATGCCAAACTGAGAAGTTCAAACGCTCGGTCTTTTTAAACACCAGTGACGACGGGCTGTGCAAGTTCAGATCGTCAATCTGTCGACCCAAGGTTGTCATCGCCAGTTCAAGCAATTGATAAATCGCCAGAAAATAGGTATAGGCATCAAGCTGAAATATATCCAACTGTTGCATTGTGTCATCCAGTCGATCCCCTCTTAACCGCATCTTCTGCCAACACCATCATGATTTCCTGCAGAACCTCTTTGACATTTGTTTCAGGAACATTATGTGCCAAGAGCTCAGCTACATCTCCTCTCGACGGTTCATCAGCAACATTTGAGGGCGTAGGAACCCTGGTGTACCAAGGTGTGGTGCAGCTGGACATTTCTAACTTTAACAGGAAATCAATCAACAAGTTTGCAGTAAAGTTGCGACCGTTTCCCGATATGGCAACATCCCTGGCTGAGTTGTTGTCCACAAAGCAAATCATGGACATTGCAGATAGTACTTCTTTCCAAACCGAAAAGGCGACTACCATCGCTAGCAATTCTGATTCAAAGATGATTGTCTTCTTTGTGTCAGCACCGAGAATTCCCATTTGATCCTCATCCAAAGAGATTGAGAAAAATGCCACCTTGTTTGCTAAGGGTCCGACAAGGACTCCACCTAAGCCACACTTCCAGTTTTCTGCAGTTGGTTCGTAACATGCGTCCGTGTAAACATGCCACACCTTGTCAGTGTACAAGTGGATTCTGCGAGGCTCTGCATATTCCAAAAATACTGCAAACCGGCGCAGAGCTTGAGCTGTTCGATTTGAAACTCTAGCATTCTGAAACTCGCAGGTGTGATTGGAAACTTCCCTCATGCATAGCTTTCCCAAACGACCAAAAAGTTGCCCATCCATGAACTGCATTCTCCCTCTGAGCCTCTGCGCCTCTACCAGCGTCATGCTCCCCTTCTGCAAGATAGTATTGATGGTATCGATCAATTCATTTGCTCGCTTCTTAGTGTTGGTGAACTTCACCAGCCCCTGAGGGCACTCATCCAAAATGATTCTAATGCCCAAGGCTCCAAATTCTCTTGCGAAACTTTCTGCTTTCTCACCCTCTTCAGCAAATCTCCACCCCAATAGTTTGAAAAGCAGGGACACAGCCTGATTTGTATTGTTGACATGCTCATCTCTGGCAAATACGACATAGTCGTCAAAGAAACAACTCCATATGAGATTAAGCGCCTTCACACCAATGTACCATATGGCATTGGAGAGTCTCAAAAAAGAATATACACTCCTTGTTGCTCCAAACGGCGCCGCTAGCAGCTGAAAGACCTCTGCCTTGGCCTTCTTGGGGTTATATACTGCAACAAAAGCAAACGAAAGCGACTGCGTGGCTATTGCTAGTTGCTTGTATGCCGACTTCAAGTCAAAGGATCTGCCCATCAAGGGCATTCCTTTGTTGCATTTCAAAACTTCCAAAAGCATGGCAGCTATGAAATCCGCCGAGTGTGGTTTGGGTGATTCCACTGTTTGTACCGTTTGATTCACACCACTGGCACTGAGGTCATCTATCAAACGAATTTTCCCTGGCTGCCTTAACCCGAACCTCCTGCTGACTACAGCGTCATTTGGAAGGTGATCCAATTCAAGGGGCCCACAGGCCCATCCAAAATCCACTTCCTCCAACGTTTTGCTGTAAACCATTTCATCGATCTCACCATCACCCGAAGATGAACACTTGTAAAAATTTAGCAGTCTCTCAGAGCGACTCGCCTGACTGACTTGTTCAATCGTTTTCTCGGCTGGCTTGAACGCTTTCTCAAAAATTCCGTAAGGCTGTACCTCACCAACCAGCTCTGTTCCTTGAACCAGCTCATCAAATGCTCCAACATCCGGGTAGTTCAAATCCAACAAAATTTCCTTGAAGAGTGCCAACCTTTTTGGCTCCAAAATTTTTGCAGCATGCTCTGGTAATGCCTTCTTGATTTCCGTGTCCTCCTGTTTCAATTGCTTTGCACGCTCAGTCCATTTTGCAAACCAGAGGCTTCTATCTCTAGGAAGTCTATGCAGACTGTCTTCACAAAAATTGTTGCTGATAGCCTCTTGCAAAACGCTAGGCACCAATCGCGAAAACAACCTGGGGTGACCTCTTTGCGCTGCCTCCCATATGAACTCCTCTGGCTCAAACGGGATGCCCCAAGCTTGCTCAAACAAACCTGTCCTATTTCCAGTATCCAGCATACCCCCACTTGACCGCAGGGGTGTCACACGCAACAACTGAGCTCCCTTAGGCAAAATCGGCACATCAGTCTGACAAGCTTCAGGTACTGGCCAGCTAGTCTTGAGACGTTGCATGGGTGCCACTGGTGCCTTTGCTAGTGCCTCAAAAGGCCCTGTGATGCGGACAATGGTTTTGTGCTCCCGCACAACAGACGGAAACTTTGCTGCTTTTGGCTGGGCTGTTGCAACTGCTCGCATGGATTTCAGGGACACTTCATGGTCATCTCCTAACTGTTCCTGGGGTGGACTCCACCCATGTGATACCAAAATTGATGCAAAAACTCGTGCTATCGCCTGTGTCAGTCCTAATGGATATGCTGTTTCTTCACTCGTTGAAAAATGGGTGCCTGAAGCTGAGTGCACCAACCCCCAAGGCTTGTGCTGATGGGTGTCTGATGTGCCTGGGCAGAACCTGCATAATGAAGAGAAGGCTGGATGGTTCCATGCCAACACTGTCCATTTTGGCCTAGCTCCTCCATACGCACAAGCCTGATGTGCTGTATACTGCATCGGTGCTCGAATCTTTTTCCAAAAGTTTGTAAGCCAAAACAGTGATGACCGCGGGTTTTCCACTACAACAATGAGACCCAGCTCATGCGCCATGTCAACCACTTTTGCCAGAAATTCATAAAGCCGATTTGCAGCAGAAACTCTAGCTCTATCATTTGGTCCAAGGCCTGGTAGCCCTTCGGGCCAAGCTGCTGAACGGAGAGGTCTCGGCCCAAGCAACGCCCTGCCATGTGAATCACGCAACTTGATGTTCCTGGCAAGTGAACAGGTACCGCATGGAGGAGCTAAAAAGACTCCCACCACCAACGGAGATTTCAACCACTGCATGCATATGAGTTGATCCGCAGGCAATGTAAGGTCCAGGCATCTGGCCGCTGAAACCGCTTTGTCCAGTTTGTGGTCCACCCCAAAAGAATCCCTAAAACCAACAGCTTTGAGACTGGCCGTCAAACGTGCACTGCCACAAAAAATTTCAATCACCACAGGACATGTCAACTGTTCAACGCTAAATGCAAAACCGTCAGTTGCTGCTGCTTGCATTTCAGACTGTCCTGAACCCAGGCTTTGATTTACTAAATCTGGCACTTCTGCTGCGTTCTGAGGACCTGGCTGACCTTGTACTACAGGTTTATCCGCAGCTTCTGCTGCATCACTTGACGACACAAAATTGTAAGCCACACTGCTGTCAAAATTTGTCCCTTGCACAGGCTTCGCTGAGTTGAGACCATCCACTGTCGTCGCTTGCATGGATTCATTAAATTTGCTGCTCCCAACATGCTGCATGCATGGATTATTGAGGGCAACGCTCAAAGACGGAAAATCACCTGAAAAATTGTTTGAAACTTTGCCATCACCAATCTTTGAATCTTTTTGCAGTCCTTCCACTGAGAGTCACAGGTCAGACTCATGTTTTTGAATCCCATGCAACCCGTAGCACTTTGCGCACACATGTAAGCCTCGCCGACACTTAGCTCCGTCGGCTGCATCTGGGCAGCCTGAACTGCTGTTGTAGCCAAAGCAGATTGGGTCGCCTGCTGGATTGGATGAAGTGCCGCCCAACTTGAAGATGTGGTTAGGAACCCTGACCTTGCCCTTGCCTCCTTTCTTTCCACCCTTGGATTTCAGCCAAGGTTTCTGCACATGCGAGTTGGATCCCTTGCCACCATGAGTCACTGCCGGCTTCGATACCTTTGACGGTCCAGGTCCAGTGTCCTTCTTGGCTATCAATGGCAGCAAAGAAAAGGAAACTCTATAACTCTGGAGACTCTCCATGAGCTTCACGTCCAACGCCAACTCACCTGATTCATCCCTTTTGGGTTGAACACCCTCCTCCAACAACATCTGCCACACCGTCTTGTCGGCCGACACAAGCTGACTCACTGACGTCCTTGCATAGCACAATGGTGGGTCCCTATGCAAATGTCCAAACAAAGTGGTGAGGTATCTGGTGTAGCTCTCATGAGTGATCAAATCCGCGAACACCAACGCTATGCCTCGTCGCTGAAAGGCCTCTTGTAGTTGAAGTGCTGAAGTAACCGTCATATCAGGAGTATCCTGCTTTTCCTTCACAACAAGGTTCTCTGCTGAGATGTCCAACTGCTTTGTCGGGGACTTCTGATTCAACACTTCATGAGTCCTTGAGATGCATTTTTCAGGAGGGATGTATTTGATTTCATTGAGTTGCATCATACTGGCTGTGGTGTCCAAAAGGGAATGTCCAGGTTCAAGCGGCCCTTCGATGAGAAGGCCTGTCAGCCTTCTTTTAATGGCCCTCATTTTGGTTTCCCGCTCAACCACGGGTACCTTCTTGATTGCAGAAGCATCCGTTGCATTGACCTGATCCTGTAAAGATGCTAGGACCATTGTTTGACTCTCAAAAAGGAGGCGTTTGGCCCCAGCAACATCAGCTATTGTTGCACCTGTCAAAAGCTGTCCAGTCACCCAAGATTCGAAACCTTCATCTGAAATGTTTTGGCCAGGTTGGCCATGGGCATATGCAAACGTGCCAAATGTCTGCAAACCATTCCTTTTAAGGCTGCGTTTCAACTCCTCCGACAATTTCAAGTCGATTGTACGCTGGATAAATTGTGCCTCAGAGTCCAGCAAGCTTGCCATGGCGGCAAATTGAATCCTGAAAGCGAAAGAGATCACGCACCAGTCGACATGCACAACAAAATTGTTTTACGAGTTTTAATTCCAAGTGTAACAAAATTCGACATGCCAACAAGTCACAAAAGGAGAATTGAAAGGGTTCCAAGACATGTCCAAAACTTAATCGTGCAAATCACTGAATGTCTACAACATGTCCATCTGAACCACCGCGCTCATGAGCCACGCTCCACAAGCATCACTCATCACATCAAGTGCCACGCAACCTTGATGTCTTGTGAACACAACGATTATAGTGACTGGGATTCAATTCTTTCACGATCACTCCACGCCAAAATTTCATTGAAATACAAAATCCAAGTCAAATTCTCAACAAGATCTCTAAAAACGATTGATCCTTGTCACAGCCAAATAAGGGTGCCACGCAACCCGTTCCATCTCACCACGTGAGACACTCTTTTAACTCAATGCTTTCGGAAGTGCATTGTCTTTCACCGCATTGCTCTTGCAACGCTTGCACATGTCTACAGAGTCAAACTGGGTTATGTACTTATAGTTCTGGTTCAGCGACCTTCCACATGAAATCATGCGGGCGCCTTTTCCGTCCAATACTGCAGGGTCAGAGTAATGGACCAACTTTGACACATTGTACATCACAAACAGGCCTGCTAACGGTCCAACTGCATGGTGTCTAAAACACTTGACTCGAGGCTTTGGAACCTCCTCTGACGAGTCTGAGTCCTCCACCGATTCTGAACCATCAGACGATGCTTCAAAGGGCTCGTCATCAATGACAACAGCCTCCTCAGGCCTCAGCAATGAAGTCTCCTGGTCAGTCACCTCATCCTCGACCTTGACAACCTGGCAATTCACAGGTTCTGTATGCTCCACTGTCACTGGCACCGTTGGGTGGTACCCAGACCTTGGAGCATCTGGCACAAACTCCCCACTGTGAATCGTCTTCAGCACATCTTGAAGTCTATGCACCGCTCCAAAAGCAAGGTCTCTGGCATAGACCGCACTCGACTCCAAGTATGCACTTGAATGCCGGCCCAGGATAGCGCGGTCTGCTGGACTCATTCCTGATTTGGCTGCCCATGATAACAAGGTCGCTTTCAGCGAGTGTGACGACACTCTCGGCTCACTTTGGTTCACGTTGTCACCTTCAAGCATGAGCCGCAAAAACTTTGTAACCTCATGTGAAGTCAGGCCACGCCGGCAGTGGGTGTTCCCATCCGACCCCGGCGGTCGAAAGAAGGGCCCTCCAACACGGCCTTCAAACTCAAGGCCAAAACTTTCGAAAGCCGCCTTTGCAGCTGAAATCCACTCACAACCGGTGATGCCCACCGCTGGAATCACTATAGGCAGAAGTCTCGACTTCTGAGCCACAGACCGGGCAGTTTTGTGGGTTCTTGTACTCACCTCCATGTACCCACAGTCATCCCCAAAATCCAGGGCCACCTCCTCAACATTTTGCAAGTCGCTATGCCGACAGCGCCCATACAAAGCAACCAAAAGATATGCGATGACTGCTCCGTCCACTGAGTTGCAATCACCATCCTGCAACTTGTCATGCAGCCATCTCACCTGATTGACGGTGAGCACACGGGCCTGTTTCAACGGTGCTTTTTCTGCATGCATGATTTCTGCAAGCCCTTTGAGTCGCCTGCTTTCACAGATGGGCCCCAAGCCAGCAAAACCAAAAACATGGACTGCGTATGCACATGCCGACAAAAAACTGGAACCTCTGGTTGGTGCCGCGTTCCTCTCACGCAGCTCTGTCAAATACTGCCACGCCTCCATCTCGGAAAACTCCCTGCCATCGTTCTCCGATGTCTCAGCCCTCCATCTGATGAATTTCAAAAGGGCATTTGCACGGGTTATGGCAGTTGTCCTGGACCTGATGCCAATGACAGCTTCTATAACTTGAAAGGCTCCTTTTTTCTGAATGTCCATGTTTCCCAGGCCAATTATGTCACGGCCCACTGACGATGCCAGCATGTTGACCCTGATTATGCAAAACCACTTCTCCACAGCTGACTCCAAAAGGCTCTGTCGTTGCTGAAAGAAAGACTGGTCAGAACTTGAGGCGAGGGCATGCTCGAAATAAGCTCCAACCAACTGAGGCCGACTGCACATAGCCACTGACAGCTCTTCAGGTGGTTCCACTACAGCTTCCATGCAATGCTCAACCCACTGTCTTGGCTGTCCAGCCCACTCCAGTCTGCCACTGTCAGGTTTCTTGAAAATGCTTTTGAACACACCCTTTTCCCATGGCATGCGGACCTTCAGAGACCCTCTTGTGCTCAAAAACGCATGGGACAGGAACTGTTCAAAATTTTCCTGAGCCAGCGTCGGTCCTCGAGGAACTTGGCTTGCCCCTAAGTCCAGTGCGCCCTGAGTTTTGTCAAGATGCTCTCCTGCAAGTTGCACAACACTTGACTCATCTAAATCACTGTTGCCATGCCAATTTGTGGAGTCAGGCCCAAAGACAGCCTCATCTGAAGCTGTAGCCCCAACTGGGTTGCCAAGGCTCCCAACGTCGAGGTCCACTCCAACACGCTGCCAACCATTGTCAGAGTCAACACTGGCATCATCTGAACCACCGACAACATACTTAGTCAGAGTCTTGGATCTCCACGGCATGACTGCTGGAACTCTCAGTGATGCTGCTGCTACTGCTCAATTCTTGGTCCCACATACCCCCACCTTGACCGGCAAGAACCAGCGCAGGTTGAACTGGAGGTGTCGGCACTGAGAAACCTGATCCCTGATAATGGATGCGGATTGCAGTCGCTGTCAGTAAGAGGTCTTTGGTTTCCAAAAACAAGTAGACACAAGATTGCAAATATCTTTGTGACTCCTGCGGCGACAGCAATGACAAAATTTCCGAGTGCACGGCGAACCAGCCTGGAAAATGAATGATGAACGCGTTCTGAGGGTCACACTCCGAGAAGCGCTCCAAGCTAATCCACATGTAAAATGTCAAACAGCAACCACCAAATGAATGCCACTGCTGAAATGAAGCCACAAGAAAAGAAGATACCGTCTCTGAAGGTAATCCTCACTGGGGTCACTGGCACCGGCAGCAGCACCACAGGACTCGACGCAGCAACGCGTCCACGGGCTCTGGCGCCCATCCACTGCGCGGCCCAGTGCAACTAAAGAAAAACAGACACTGATCTGCATGAAACTCAAAAGATTCTGAAGTAAAACCAAAACAACATGCAACCAAACAAGTTGACATGCAACCTCAACCAAAAAAGTATGAGGCTACCCGCCACCCTACCCTGCTAAGCCAGAAATGTCGCACATTGTATTTTTCAAACGACATCCTATATCTCCCATTGATCAAGTACCTAACACTGCAATCATGTCTGGATATCCACAGACCAAAACACCACCATTGAAGATCCTGTACCAAGTTGACTGCAAGGACACCACTGAAACTGCAAGAAGTCGAATTCCCTCAAGCCATGTTGTTGAATTGCAAGAGAGTCATTCTTCGAGTGATCCCACTGCAGCGAAGGAAGAGGCAGCACAACCAAGAGGAACAACCAGCAACACGAAAACAAGTTTTCTCACCAACACTAGAAATAAGGAGCTATCAACAAGTTGACCGCATACTTCAACTGGGTTCAAGCAGCAACCGATATGCACCCCGCTTGCCCCAACAAGAAACAAAATCATCTACAAAACAGCTTGCTCCGACGGACCCAATTCTGGGTCCGGAAAAGCTTCTCAAAACCGGCTTCGCTCAAAAGGGCCTCCCTAGTTGCCCTTCCGGTCGCCAGAAGCCACGAAGCTTCATTGAAACCAAAACGTTGCGCTTCTGCCACCTTGATACAAAAAACTTCAAAAAATGAACCTAAACACGGTCCCAAAAATGGGACCGCCTGGCGGTCCCATTTTTGGGACCGCATGCACAACTTAGTAAAAGAACAGAAGAAAAGCACTTTCACGGTGAGACCGCAAAATCGCAAAATCAACAGCAAAGGCTGACCCGTGCAACAAACAAAAAATGACAACTGCGTTTAGTTAAGCAACAAGCATATAGAGTTGGAACAGAGGAGGCCCGCACATGCGAAGCCTGATTTCAATTGACTTTCCGGCCCCAGAAATGGAACCTGGAAGCGCACATGTGGTATCAGCTGTCTCCGTTCCCTAGCTCCAATGCGGCGATTGCAATGCAGCACCACCCAGGCAACATTCACCAATCCGTCGCTACTCCGCGCTACTCCGCTACTCCGTGGTATGTTTTAATTCAATTACCCAATGTAATTGACACGATATCGAAACGATGGCGGAGTAAGAAAGCCTTCAATACTTCACCTTTCCACATCTTTCCCTAAGCAGATTCTTACTCCATCCCGTTTTAAATTAATACTATTAATTAATAACGGGATTGACTGAAAAAATCATAATTCATGTTCTTTCTGGGCTGAAAACTTCGGTAGGAGTCTAGAGGGGCAAGGGGGGCCAACAAGGGGCAGTAAAAGTACTCAATGCAGTCATTCAAATGGAAGCCGACCGCTTGCGCGAAAACCCACAAACTCCGCAACAGCAAGAAACACTTCAAGCAATCACCTAAGGCTGCAAAAGGCTGATGCGCCTTCTTTTAGAAGCAAACAATCAAGCCACCAGACGAAACGAAATCATAAAAAGCTACCTTCAACTGGGTTCAAGCAGCAACCGATATGCACCCCGCTTGCCCCAACAAGAAACAAAATCATCTACAAAACAGCTTGCTCCGACGGACCCAATTCTGGGTCCGGAAAAGCTTCTCAAAACCGGCTTCGCTCAAAAGGGCCTCCCTAGTTGCCCTTCCGGTCGCCAGAAGCCACGAAGCTTCATTGAAACCAAAACGTTGCGCTTCTGCCACCTTGATACAAAAAACTTCAAAAAATGAACCTAAACACGGTCCCAAAAATGGGACCGCCTGGCGGTCCCATTTTTGGGACCGCATGCACAACTTAGTAAAAGAACAGAAGAAAAGCACTTTCACGGTCCCATTTTTGGGACCGTCTGGCGGTACCAAAAATGAGACCGCAAAATCGCAAAATCAACAGCAAAGGCCGACCCGTGCAACAAACAAAAATGACAACTGCGTTTAGTTAAGCAACAAGCATATAGAGTTGGAACAGTTGCCCTTCCGGTCGCCAGAAGCCACGAAGCTTCATTGAAACCAAAACGTTGCGCTTCTGCCACCTTGATACAAAAAACTTCAAAAAATGAACCTAAACACGGTCCCAAAAATGGGACCGCCTGGCGGTCCCATTTTTGGGACCGCATGCACAACTTAGTAAAAGAACAGAAGAAAAGCACTTTCACGGTCCCATTTTTGGGACCGTCTGGCGGGACCAAAAATGAGACCGCAAAATCGCAAAATCAACAGCAAAGGCCGACCCGTGCAACAAACAAAAAATGACAACTGCGTTTAGTTAAGCAACAAGCATATAGAGTTGGAACAGTTGCCCTTCCGGTCGCCAGAAGCCACGAAGCTTCATTGAAACCAAAACGTTGCGCTTCTGCCACCTTGATACAAAAAACTTCAAAAAATGAACCTAAACACGGTCCCAAAAATGGGACCGCCTGGCGGTCCCATTTTTGGGACCGCATGCACAACTTAGTAAAAGAACAGAAGAAAAGCACTTTCACGGTCCCATTTTTGGGACCGTCTGGCGGTACCAAAAATGAGACCGCAAAATCGCAAAATCAACAGCAAAGGCCGACCCATGCAACAAACAAAAAATGACAACTGCGTTTAGTTAAGCAACAAGCATATAGAGTTGGAACAGAGGAGGCCCGCACATGCGAAGCCTGATTTCAATTGACTTTCCGGCCCCAGAAATGGAACCTGGAAGCGCACATGTGGTATCAGCTGTCTCCGTTCCCTAGCTCCAATGCGGCGATTGCAATGCAGCACCACCCAGGCAACATTCACCAATCCGTCGCTACTCCGCGCTACTCCGCTACTCCGTGGTATGTTTTAATTCAATTACCCAATGTAATTGACACGATATCGAAACGATGGCGGAGTAAGAAAGCCTTCAATACTTCACCTTTCCACATCTTTCCCTAAGCAGATTCTTACTCCATCCCGTTTTAAATTAATACTATTAATTAATAACGGGATTGACTGAAAAAATCATAATTCATGTTCTTTCTTTCTGGGCTGAAAACTTCGGTAGGAGTCTAGAGGGGCAAGGGGGGCCAACAAGGGGCAGTAAAGTATTCAATACAATCATTCAAATGGAAGCCGACCGCCTGCGCGAAAACCCACAAACTCCGCAACAGCAAGAAACACTTCAAGCAATCACCTAAGGCTGCAAAAGGCTGATGCGCCTTCTTTTAGCAGCAAACAATCAAGCCACCAGACGAAACGAAATCATAAAAAGCTACCTTCAACTGGGTTCAAGCAGCAACCGATATGCACCCCGCTTGCCCCAACAAGAAACAAAATCATCTACAAAACAGCTTGCTCCGACGGACCCAATTCTGGGTCCGGAAAAGCTTCTCAAAACCGGCTTCGCTCAAAAGGGCCTCCCTCGTGATGCTACTAGAAAAATGTGCAGATAGAAACCTACAGCTACCATTCACTGATTGTGGAGGCTGTCAGCTACCGTTCACTGAAACAAGCAATCCGGTGCGCGAGCTACTTCCTTGGCTCACATGTAAGCAAGCTGTTGCAAAATCATGCTTGGTGCTTCAAGATGAACTTCGTCCGGGACACTAGTGCTAGAACTTGCTGACTGAACAGTCTCCAGAGCACTAGAGAGCTTCGCAGTTGCATGCTGTCGTCTGGCATATGGGGCAAGACAAAGGCTGTTTCGGCGCGGATGAAGCATATAACCCAATGCGGGCACTGGATCGGGGCAGTGCACTGCTTACCATGAGCAGTAGTTAACACCCTCGCCATTACCCAAGGTACCCTTGGGAACACCAGCTGTCCTACAATGATAGTTCTCTAAGCTCTATGCTCTGATTATGAGGTACCATGGGAGGCGAAAGCACTGCTATTTCAAATCGACAGCACATATGCCTCTGCGCTGTTATCACATTGCGCGAGGGACCATCGTAGTACTACCCTGTCCCGTTTGAACGACCTGGCGGAAGCCACACGGCGTTGGACGGAAAAAAAAAGTGGTGTTCTGTTCCGTGTCGGCGGTGCATGGCCATTTGCCTTCTGCTGGATTGTGGAAAGTGATGTCCGTCACCCGAGAGCAACCTTCATTCACTCAACGATTCCGTGTGAAATAGTCTAAATTAAAAGTCGGGATGGAGTATCTGCTTTGGGAAAGATGTGGGGAGGTGAAGTATTGAAGGCTTTCTTACTCCGTCATCGTTTCGATATCGTGTCAGTTACATTGGGAAATTGAATTGCAACATAGCACGGAGTAGCGGAGTAGCGCGGAGAGCGAAGGATTGGTGTACATCAGGAGAAGGAAAGATTTTTTTCCCGTTTAGCGTCTTACAAGCATCATGATCCTCAGCCGCGGATAAATATTTTCATTTCGCGCGGCCTGCGTCGCGGATCATCAGACTCTCAAAGTGCTATGGGAGTGAAATCCCTTCGTCCCACATTGTTCGAAGATCTGTCGTGCTACACAGCAGTCTGTCTGCAACACTGGATTCTCTTATCTTTTCTCAGGTGAGACATTCTGGACGATCATGTACTATATTTCACGCACTGCCGCAATGATAATTAGTTTGCATGTTTTTGAGGATGATACGGTGGCTAAGATCACTGTATCTAAGGCAAATCTGATTGTGTTTTGTCTGTTGTTGGGCCCTGTCCCGTTCTTTGTTGCTTCGCTGTTTTGCTTTGACGAAACGCAAATCTGGCTGGGGGATTTGCGGGTCGTTTTGGTTGTGGTGGTTTGTTGTTTTTTGTTTGTCTTTGGTTTCGTTATGATTTGCCAAAGTTTTTGGACCACACGTGTCCTTGTATATTACTGCTTTTCATTGCTTACGCAATTGTAAGGACCGAGCCTAGTGCGACATCGGCCAAACCGGAAAAAAAAAAGTTCCACATTGTTCGAAGATAAAACGGTTGCTAGAGCTGCCGCAGAGGGCTCAGCCACCACCCACGGACAACGACTCATCATCAAAGAGGATGCTCTCTCTCTCCGAGAACAGC